GTTAAATGTGTTTCTTGTATACATCATACTGTTGGATTTTGTTTCTTAATCCACTCTGCCAGTCTGCTTCTTTTGATTGGTGAATTGAGGCTGTTTACACTAATGGTCATAACTGTTGTGTGTTGGCTTGTCCTTATCATGTTATTGACTTGGTGCTGGTTTCCTACTTTTACTCTCTGTTTAATTGCTTTCTCGGGTAGGTGGTTCCTTTCTATTGTTTTTCTGGAAATTATGGTCATTTTTATCTCTCTCTAGGCTATCTTTTTGTACTCTTTGTAGGGCTGGTTTGGTGCTCATGAAGTTCTTCAGTTGTTCTTTATCATGGAAGTATTTTATTTCTCCATTAAATTTGAAGGATAGTTTTGCAGGATACAATAGTCTGGGTTGGAAGTTGTTTTGTTTCAGGATCTGGAATACTTCACTCCAAGCTCTTCTTGATTTGATGGATTGTGTTGAGAAATCTGCCATGATTCTGATAGACTTCACTTTATAGGTGATCTGTTTCTTTTCTCTAACAGCTTTTGATATTCTATACTTCTGCTGGATTTCTGGGATCTTGATTATTATATGTCTGGGTGTAGATTTATTTTGGTTGTGGCTTGTTGGAATTCTATATGTCTCACTTATTTGTATGGCAGATTCTTTTTCCATACTTGGGAAATTTTCTGCTATTACTTCTGGAAATAGTCTTTGTGTGTCATTTGTGTTAACTCTTGCTATTTCATTGATGCCTATCAGTCTTACATTGTTTCTCTTTGCATTGTCTTGCAGCTGCTGAATTGTTATTTCCTGGTTCCTTGTAATTTTAAAGAGATCTTTCCTATCATGATTGTTAGCTGTAATACTGTCTTCAAGATCTTCAGCTTCATTCAAGCAGTTTTGCCAGCTTTCTATGGAGCTTTTGATTTCCTGGACATCTGTATGAATCTGTTTCATGCATTCTAGTTCTTTGCTATATTTTCCAGTTAATGTTTCTGTTATTTTTCTATGCTCCTCTACTTTTTATATGTCCTCTTTAGATGTGCTGAATAATTCTTTCATTATTGTTGTCATTTCATTTTTTACCTGAGAGATTGTTTTTGATCTGATTTCTTTTAGGGTCTTACGGAGTTGTTTCTTTACTTCAGTTGTGATCATTTCAGAGATTTCAAGTGTGTGACTTCCAAGTTCTCCTATGTTGCTGTCTCCTGGACTTGTTCTGGTTGGGATGGAGTTCTGAGATTGCATTTTCGTCCTTTGTCTTGTCATTGTGCATGTCAGAGGTGAAGTGCTGGGCCTCACCCACTCCAGGAAGCTCACTGGCCCCTAGATTACCTGGTTGTCAAGCTTTCCCCATGATGGCAGCAAAAGGTGTTCCACCAGGTCCAAGATCCCCAGATAGTTTCTGGAGTGCCCAGCTCACATGAATGCCTCGATCACAACAGAGTGCTGGCCTTCGTGACCAGGGTCCCCAGGCAGTTGACTGAGGGCACCAGGGCCTCAGGTTGACCCACAATGTTGGCAGAATGTGCAGAGCTGGATCAGATTCCTCAGGCAGCTGATGGGGCATACCTGTCTCTTTAGGGCCTGGGACAAAACTGACAATATCAGCAGGACTTGGAGCACATGTTGGAGTTCCCCTGGCAGATGACTAAGGGCTCCCAGGGCTTCTGGGGCTTCAGACCTGATCCACAATGTCTGTGGAGTGCAGAGCACCAGTCGGAGATTCCCTGGTGGCTGGGTAATGGTGACCCAGACTAACTTATACCACAACCCACAAAAACCACGGGGTGCGGGGCACCAGACTGAGTTCCCCTGATGGCTGGGGAGGGGGACCCTGAACTTGGGCATGACTTACAATGTTCAAAGACTGCAGCACGTAGATCTAAGTTCCCTGGGTGGCTGGCTAATGATGACCCAGACTAATACACACCCCACAATAACCAAAGGGCGTGGGGTGCCAGTTCATGTTCCCCTGGTGGCTGGGTGATAGTGACCCCAACTAGTGCAGGTGCCGCAATAAGCATGGGGTGCAGGATGCCAGTTTGTGCTCCTCCGGCAGTTGGGTAATGGTAACCCAACTAATTTGCGCTGCAACCCGAAATAACCACGGGGTGCACAGCACCAGTTCAAGTTGCCCTGGTGGCTGGGGAATGGCACCCTGAACTTGGGCGTGACTTACAATGTCCGCAGACTGTAGTGTGTAGATCTCAAGTTCCCCAGGTGGCTGGATGATGAACTGTTTTTTGCTTTTTTTGTTTTGTTTTGTTTTGTTTTTTTAAAGAGAATGGTTTAAAAAAAAAAAGAACAATAGCAAAATACAAACAAAAAAAGCAAGGACATTAAAAATGATATGGGATTTCAAACCAAATGATAGGGATTAACAGTGGTTGTTATATTACATACTGTTATCTTCAATGAAATTGCTCAGATTAACACATGTAAGAATAGAAGATTGATCAAACCGTTAAAGGGAATAAAAAACTAATAACTTAAAAGAACATTAGGGATAATACATAGTTTCAGTAGACAGGATTGTAGGAATTCACCAATGGTTGTTGTTCACAAATTGTTGTCTTAACATACATTGCTCAGATTATCAAATATACACCTGCAAAATTGCTCAAAATATAAAAAAATTTTTAATCATTAACTGTTCCCCTCAATAAACCACCAGACATCGGCAGCACAGTTACGCCACCTATCCATATATCTATATATATGTGT